GAATTACATTGCATTTTGAGATTTATGGAGGCTAAAAACGCGAGATTGTTCAATAGATATTGTTTAGTTGCACTAGAGGAAGAACACGTGGTTTTTTTTTTGAATGATTGGGTTGCACACGTTGTTCAATAGGTTTTTTTTTTGAACAATACCGTCCGCTATGACTATACCTGACAGCACCATCGGTAATCTCCCATCGGTGATGCTCGGTCGACCGTTACTACAATAGGCGACGGTATTGTCAGCTGTCATCTTTGCTCACCATGCCAAGCCGATGATGAGCCATCGGCTATTTCTTGGTCCATGATCGACTCACCATGTCGAGACGATGCATATAGCCGGCCGTCCCAACAGCATTGGTATCAATAATGGTCGTATATTTATCCCGTTGAGTTTAATTACAACTGGGAGGGTGCCTAACACCATTGGTATTAATAACAGTCGACGGCATATTATCCCGTTGAATTTAATTATAGCGGATAGGGTGCCTAACACCATTGGTATTAATAATGGTTAACTAAGCTTAACTGGTAATCAAGTTTTTAGCAAAGATCGTAAACTAACCACATATATGATACCATATCTCCATGAAGGTCCCCCGCGATTGGCATTTAGAGCCCTCGAGTGTGGCTTTTGGCGGGCAACCTTCATGGATGTGGTTATTTTGAGAAATTAGATAATCACATTTGGAGTTTAAAAAAATTGAAAAAAAATCTACACATTCATATGGATATATTAAACATGTGTATAAAATTTCACAATGAAATACATTGTGGTGAGAGCTACACAAAAAGAGGAAATCCTGCATTTATAATAGTGAACAGTGTATACTATTCATCCGTTTGACAATTACGATTTGTCTTTTTGCGTATCTCTCACCGTAATGTATTTCATCTTCAAAATTTCACACATGTAGAATACATTCATGTAAACATGTATGATTTTTAAAGATATTTTTAAAACTTTAAAATATGTTTTTTATTTTTTTTCAACGACCTCCATGGAGGTCGCCCGTCATTGACATTTAGCGCCCTCAAGGAAGGCTATTGCTGAGTACTACAAGGTGGAGTTTGCTGTGGGGGTGAATCCAGACATGTAGTGGATAGCCAGTGAATTTTATTCTATAAATTCCCAAAAATTGAATTGAAAATGGGAAACATGAAGAAAAATAGGATACTTCGTGAAAGAATCAGGAACAACTCGCAAACTTCACTGAATATCTTAGACTTTCAAAGTGGAAAACATACAAGAGGGGAATAAAATCATAATTATACTAAAAAAACTACTTATTTCAGTCCACAAGATGTTCTAACCTTTTTATGAATCGGTTGTATATAGACACATGTTAAGGTGTTTATTCGTCATTTTGGTCCCTACGTAGTTCAAAATATCTTATATTTGTGAACGGAGGGAATAAATTTGAGAAAACAAATAATTTGTGTTTTCATGTTAAGTTTTTTGTTTACACAATACAATCGCAAATGATCACATACACGCACACACACTCCCCCTATGAAAGTAAGCATGCACACTACACTCCTATGAGCACCTTCAAGATACTGAACCGACACAACATTTTGAAATCGATAAAGTCACCAAATACGCATCGTAGTCGAAGGAAACGTCTCCTCCTCACCAGAAAGCTTAAAAATAAATCCAAAAAAATGCGAGCACCAGTAAAGTCTAGGAACTTGAAATCTGATGGGTTGGTTCCACCGACCATCTGAGCAACGATCAATTCACCATGTTAAGTTGGTTGGCCCGTGTGCAAAGTACAGTCACGCCCTACCTTGCAATGGTATTTTTTGACAGAAAAAATATGTACATGTTTTTGTACTAGTTACTTACAAATCAAACGGGCTGGCCGGAGAGGAGGACCTACGTGTTCCAAACTTTTACCATTGTAGTTTCAAAAAAAAAAAACTTTTTACCATTGTGATCTGCAACTGCAACAGGGAAGACACCAGGCGTGACCTGTGTGCAGTGCACCTGCATGCTCCAGCTGACGTCGTACGTGCACAGCTCTTTTGCACCGCATGGAAGAAGAATATTTGAGGCGCGCCATTATAGCCTTTTGACTTGCCAAATTAAATCCCCCGTACAAAAATATATCCTGCCTATATATAGCCGGCGTCCCCCAGTGAACGAGCACACACAAACACACAAACATCCAGCGCGCTCGGCATCCACCGATCGATTGCTTCTGTCTTGGCCATCCGCTGATAAGATCATCGACAGGCGCCTCCCCCCAGGGATCGATCGAAGATGCCGAAGATAGCGCTGGGCCACCGCCGCGAGGCGTCCGACCCCGGCTGCCTCCGGGCCGTGCTCGGCGAGCTCGTCCTCACCTTCCTCTTCGTCTTCGTCGGCGTGGGCTCCGCCATCGTCGGAGGTACGTGCGGGCAGTGCTCCTCCGCCCACTTTAATGCCGGCTACATCCGTTCGTTCCGTGCATGCTGTGCACAGCCCCTGAATCAACCGTTCAATATTTTTCTATTACTTTGTTTAGTTGGTTATACAACTAGGTGGGGCACACACACCTACCAATTACAGGACGACACGTGTGTTTTGCCCCTAGAAAAATGGAAACACCTGCGCGAAGTTTGGATATCGTAAAAAAATGACAAAGAAGGCGTCTGAGGAATCGGTTGAGATAGAAAGTGACAGAGTAGAACCAGTAGGTTGTGAGCGGTGGGTTCCTTGCCACGTCGAAGTCTCAAAATTTACAGCACCAATGCTTGCATATTATATTGGTTTACGAAGCTCGCACGTCACCATGTGGATTATTGAGTTGTCAAGTTTCTTCTCCCTCTTTGTTGCGGCAAAAAAAAAGTTAATATTAAGCTTAATTTCAGTTAATAAAGTACTGGCATGCATGTCATCTCGCTTTGAAGCACCTCCTGGGTCGGTGATGCGGCACTGTATTGTATAGACTTCAATCAAGAGAACACCTGATCGAGAGATATGTCGCGACCACCTAGAGCTTCAGATTTGTCATGTCCAGTCCAGTGCTCCCGTGAAGATACCCTTCCATTATGTTCCTTCCATATCACCCGCATTTGCCGTTTGATGGCACGATCGTCTTGAGAAAATGCAGTGTTGAACCAGCGTTTCAGGATCCGCAGGCTGCTGATTTCTTTTGTGCATTGTTAATCAGGACAAGCAGTCGCAGCCGGAGGCGACACGTCGGCGGCGTTGATCGCGGTGGCGCTGGGCCATGCGCTGGTGGTGGCGGTGTTCGCAACCGCAGGGTTCCACATCTCCGGCGCCCACATGAACCCAGCCGTCACGCTCAGCCTCGCCGTCGGCGGCCACATCACCCTCATCCGCGCCGGCTTCTTCGTGCTCGCCCAGATGCTCGGCTCCTCCCTCGCCTGCATCCTGCTCAGGGCCCTCACCGGCGGACTGGTACGTCGCCGTCGTTCCTCCTACCTGTCACATGCATGCCAGCCTGACAACCTCAAGCTACTACCACAATAGTAAGTGCCATTGTTGACGATCTGTGCACGCTCCGGCGTGTCACGCTGCAGGTCACTCCGGTGCACGCGCTGGCGGCGGGCGTGGGCCCGATCCAGGGCGTGGTGGCGGAGGTCGTCTTCACCTTCACGCTGCTCTTCACCATCTACGCCGCCATCCTCGACCCCAAGAGCTCCGCGCCAGGGTTCGGCCCGCTGCTCACCGGCCTCCTCGTCGGTGCCAACACCATCGCCGGCGGCGCGCTCACCGGCGCGTCCATGAACCCCGCGAGGTCCTTCGGGCCGGCGCTGGCCTCCGGAAACTGGGCCAACCACTGGGTCTACTGGGTCGGCCCGCTCGCCGGCGGGCCCCTCGCCGTGGCCGTCTACGAGTTCATCTTCACCGTCCCGGCGACGCACCAGCAACTTCCAACGGTGGAGTGAAAGGAGCTCGTTCTCCTGGGGAAGCTCTCGCCTCTCGGTAAGTTGTGGGCCGTTGGATGATCAACCGCTCCGACAAAAGCTGTTATCTACGGTATATGATACATCGAGTGTTCAAGTGTGTTTGCCCCGCGTGTTTGAGGGCTGGCTTGATTTGTGCGTGATGGGTCGTGTGAAGAATATGCGTGCGTGCACGCATGTGCGTCTCAATGTTTCGTTCGGCCAATGAGCCGTGGAAGTAACAACATTGTTTCTTTCACCGTAAGTTTGTAAGTGTATAAGGCCTCCCCGTGCATGGAAATATACGTGGAATATACATACCTGTTATTACTATCTCGTTATATAATTTTTTGTATCCTTCTTTTTACGAAAAAACTTCTAATCTATTCATGTAGCTAGTCAACTACGTATTGTGACCAAAATACTCTTTTTAACTAGAGGCTACACCCGAGAACTAAGCCTAGACTTGGCGTTGGTGCTCGCATTTTTTTGGATTTAATTAAACTTAGCGGTGATGTTCGTTTACTGAGAGGACACGTTCCCACCGACTACGGAGGTGCCAGTGGTGATTTCGTCAATCTTACAACGATGAGCCATGACAATTTTTTTAACATACCAAGACTAATTATGTGACTATTTCACATTTTTCTGTATTTTTTTGTCATTGCCTTATGAAAACATTTTTTTGGTAAATATGGCTATGTGATGACTACAAGCAAATTTTCAAAAAATCATGCTTTTTGAGAAACTATTTCCCCTTAATTTTCCATGTGGCTATTACAAAAAAAAATTCCAGGAATTTACGAAACGCAGTTTTTTTCGTAAAATTGCCATATGATCATTAGATGCAGCTATGTTTCTGGAGAACATTTTCCCTTCAATTTTACCAGACGACTACTTTTTTCTTGACATTAAAGTACTTTTTATTGCAAGGTGATTACCATGTTATCTTTTTTTTAGACAATACCATGTTATCTTTACAAGAGTATCAACAGGTTTTTTTATCTCTTGGGCACCGCACCTTGTTGATTTGTTCGGCCCAAAGCCCTGTCAGCACTTTATTGTACAGACTTTCCTCCTAGGCCCAGTTAGCAGTCGAGACCTGTCGTTCCTCAAAAAATAAAAGAAAGCAGTTGAGACCTGGCGCAACCAGGAAATATGCCCTCGCCAATTCCCCACTCCTTCGGCGGCGGCGGGCATGGCCACTGTTCTCGTGCTTGATACAAATCCGGCATTCTAATACGACTGGAGCTCCACTAGCAGGCGGATTATTGGTCAGGTTCAGTTTCGCGTATGATTAATCTGCAGCGGCACAGACAATTCGATCCATCCCAACAACACCCACGTCAACTTTCTGAGGAGTCGAAGATTTGTTAGCCCGCTTTGTTCACAGGGAACCGTAGTTTGTACGCCCATCGGTCGATTAGCCATGGCCCCCTGCGATTCTTTCTCAAGAAAACCTACCACCCGTTGGCCAGATCAGGAGAACTCCTGCATGCGCCTGCTCCGTCAGCAGCCGCCGCCGCCGCCGCCGCCGCTCCGGCGGCCGGACCTATCTCGGTACGTACTCTTAAGTTTTCTTGTGCTGTTCATTCAATTGATGAATGTCCCCATGGAATTTATGTTGTTTCCGCACGTGGGCGATTGAATGTCTCATGTGTCAGGTTGCTGCTAGAACACTCAGTAATGCTTATGGTGGAGTTCTCTGTCTCCACCCAAGCCTGGCTACGCCCAATAATATCGGGCTCCTTTTTTGTTAGGATGTTATAGTTCAGCTGATTTATGAGACATCACCGGAGTTTAATCCCAAATCACTACGCCTTGCCTCCTTGAGTGAACGCAAGACCGATTCAAATTTCACAAAATACAAAAAGCATGGCTCAACTGATAAAATTAAGTATTCTAATTGCAGTCTTGGATCCTGGCATTAATCTTACATGTATGTTTTTGACTTGTTTTCCTTGATTACTTGTCTAACTGGTCAAACCTTACCTGGCCCGGCTCTCCTTCTTGAGTGAATGCTAGGTCTCCTACCCTAATCTCAAAGTAAAAAAAAACATGGTTCAACTGGTAACATAATCTTTGTACCTGGCATTAATCTCAATTCTCAAATGTGTGTTTTAACTTGTTTTGTTCTTGGTTACGCTCTAAATAGCCAAACCGACCTATTGTGTCTCGCCTTGTGAATGCTTGAGGTTGATCCAAATTTTGATACAAAAAAAACCATGCTTCTACTAATTTAAAAGGAGTAATGTGATGCTGGATTTCCACATTAATCTGAATGTTTGAATTTATGTTTTGACTTGTGTTTCTCTTGATTGCTTCTCTAAGTGGCCAAAATGGGCCCATCGCGCCTCACCTTCTCAAGTGAATGCTAGAATTCTTATCCAAATTTTAAAAGTTAAAAAATTTGGTTCTACTGATAAAAAGTGTATTCTTGGACATGGTAAAAATTTCTCAATTCTCAAATATATATTTTGAATTAATTTTGTCTTGGTTATATCTCTAGATGGCCAAAACTGCCCACTTTGTCTCTTCTCCTTGAGTCAATGCTCAAGAAGTAACCTGATGTTGGACTTCTACATCGATCTTAGTACTCAAATATGAAATATCTGTTGTTGTTTCACTGAACCGGGAAGGGGTGGGGATTAATCTCCATTCTGGGATGTATGTTTTGATATGTTCTTGCTCACTTCTCAAGATGGAAAAATCTGTTCCTTAAGTGG